ATAGGTGTCTTGTTTCTGTTTAGACATATTACTAAATATTTTGTCTTTTAGGTGACTATTGTAAGTGGTATTGTTTTCCTGATTTCCTTTACAGAATTCTCTCCGTTGTGTGAAAAGATCAGATTGAATTTTGTATATTGATCTTGTACCCTGCCACTTTTGCTTAATCTTTCAGTGAATTCCAATAATTACTGAGTATTTAGGATTTTCTATGCGTAATCTTTCAATGAGTTCCATAATTACTGAATATTTGGGATTTTCTATGGATAGGATATCATTTGCAAAAAGTGTTTTACCTCCTCTTTGCCACTTTGGATGCATTGGATTTCTCTTTCTTGCCTTATTACTACTCTAACATATCTAGCACAATACTGAATGGTGGTTGGGTATGTGTCGTGGAATCAGTTCTGAATCAGTGACCCTGCATAGGGTTTTCGATGCTGCGAATCTTTACAGGAGTTGAATGCCTGATCTCTCACAGATCGGGAGGTAGTTTTGAACTGCTGACCTTAAGGTTAGCAGCCTGATTTGTAACCACTACACTACCAGAGTCCCTGAATAGCAGTGGTTATAAAGGACATTATTTTCTGGCACCTGTTTGCAAAGGGAATGCTTTCAGTATTTCTCTGTTGAGACTAATGTTGACATTGGTTTTACATATATGCTCTCAATTGTGTTCCTTCTATTCCTGTTTTGTTGAGTGTTTTTATCAGGAGTGCGGAATTTTGACAAATGCCTTTTCTGTGTTGATTGATATGATCATGTGGTCGTCTTCCTGGTGGATTATGTTGAAGGGAATTGTTGTTAGGTGACGTTCGGTTGATTCAGACTCATAGTGACCTTACCCACAACAGAGTGAAACACTGTTTGGTCCTGCACCATCCTCACAATTGTTAAGCTTGAGTGGCTACTTACTGCCACTGTGCTAATCCATTTTGCTTGGGGCAGGGGGCAGGGGGCTGGATGGTGTTTTTCTCTTTTTCACTAACGGTTCCACTTTGGAGTTGTTGTTAAGTGTTGCTGAGTCGATTCTGACCTGGTATTGGGTTTTTGAGGAGTGCTGGTGGGTTTGAACTGTTGGCCTTGAGGTTCACACCAACCATATGGTCCAGTGCTTATTCAGCACCACACCTGGACTCTACTTTACCAAACATAATGTCCTTTTCCAGGGACTGGTCCCTCCTGATATGTCTGAAGCATGAGAGATGAAATCTTGCCGTCCTGGATTCTAAGAAGCATTCTGGCTGTACTTCTTCCAACATAGATTTTTTTTCTTGCAATCCATGGTAGTTTTACTATCAATTTTTCTATGGTAGTTTTTCATTGTCCAACTTTCACATGCATATGAGGTGATGAAAATACCCTTGCTTGGGTCAGGCATACCATAGTCCTCCAACTTATATCTGCCCTAGAACATTTTAAAGAGGTCTTGTGCAGATTTGCCTAATGCAATCCATCATTTGAGTCCTTGACTACTGCTTCCATGAGTGTTGATGGTTGATTCAAGCAAAATGAAGTCTTTGACAATGGCAGTCTTTTCTCACTGTATCTTAATGTTATTTATTGTTCCAGTGGTGAGGATTCTTGTTGTCTTTACGTTGAGGGGCAATCTAAATAGAAGGCTCTGGTCTTTGATCTTCAAAAGTATTTTAAGTCCTCTAAACTTTTAGCAAGCAAGGGTTGTTATCATCTGCACATTGCAGGTTGTTAATGAGTCTTCCTCCAGTCCTGATTCTACAGTCCTCTTCATATACTCTATCTTCTCAGGTTATTTGCTAAGGGTGCAGATTGAATAAGTATGGTGAAAGAATACAACCCTGGCACACACCTTTCCTCATTTTAAACCACTCAGTATCCCCTTATTTGGTTCTAATGGCTGCCTCTTGGTCTATGTACAGATGATCCACATAGTAAAAAGCCTTTGCACAGACAATAAAACATAAGTAAACATCTTTTTGTTAGTCTCTGTTTTCAGCCATCATGATATCATCAATGATATTCCCAGTTCCACGTCCTCTTCTGAATCTGGCTTTAATTTCTGGCAGTTCCCTGTTGATGTACTATTGCAGCCATTTTAAAAATTATCTCCAGCAAATTTTACTCTCACATGACATCAATATTTTTTTGATGATTTCTGCATTCCAGTGGATCACTTCTCTTTGGAATGGGTGGGCACAAATAGCTCTTTCAATCAGTTGGCCAGGTAGCTGTCTTCCAAATTCCTTTGCATAGATGAGTGAGCACACCTCCCAGTGTTTCATCAATTTGTTGAAAGATTTCAGGTTGTATTCTGTCAATTCCTGGAGCCTTGTTTTTTGCCAACACCTTCAGTGCAACTTGGACTTCTACCTTCAGTACCACTGGTTCTCACTCTTTTTTTAAGTTTTTCTTGTGAATTTATAGTTTATATGAGAGAACACCAGTTTTACACTCATCATTTCATTGTAATGATTAGTCTCCTCCATGCATCATCATTCAACAGTATTTGCTTCTATTCCTTTTTTTTTTTTTGGGGGGGGGGTTGTTTCTTTAATATAGAACATTTTAATCCATCCCTTCTTTGAAAG